TACATTTTCTAAAAACTTTTAAGTAAACAGAAGACAAAACTTTTTCAAAAATATGGCACACCAAAGTAACTTTTTATTAAAGTGTTTTTCAATAAACTTTGCCAAACCATTTATCCAGCCTGAATTTGATGGAATTGTCAAAAATCATTGCCACAAGTATTTTTTCTAGTTTCCATGCCTTTATAGCATCTATGGTAGCTGTTGTCTGACTTTGCCCAGTTGTATCAGGAATCCTGGATACACACAACAATTTCCCTTCAGGTGCACTTGGTTTTCCTGTTACAATAATAGCCAAACATTCCACTTTACCATCAACCTCAGATATCAGCTTTGAATCCCAGTGAATGGATAAGTACATGGGTGAAATGAATATTTTCTTTATATTATCTGAAACTTGCTGTCAAATTTTATTACCTGATCTGTTCGCTGTGCTTTTTGAGATATTTCATCTAAATTGTGACTTAATGCTTCAGCTACAGTTAAAATGATCTCAGATCTTTCTATGTTGGATAGATATCATAAATTTTCTTTTCATTATCAAATGCTACCAATACATTAAAACTTTTTTCATTTATATTTTTCTTTCTAGATTTCTCTTTTTCCTCCTTTCTTTTCACTTTTATTGCATAACTCTTGTCTAATAGGCCCAAAAATTGCTTTTTTAAGTGACGCTGATCTGAGAGAAAATCTATATCTGATATCTGATTATTGATACTACACAAAACTACCTTTTCTTATCATATTTTCTGCATTTGATGCTGCAATATCAAACAACAACGACAGTTTATTAGTAAAACTCAGAAGTTGAGCTGCAAAACTTTTATTTTTTTATTTATAATCTGATTCTTTCTAAGATAAATCAGATGCAGTATCTTTTAACAATATCTTTCTTCTGTTTTATTGGAATTCCTGCCACTTTCCAAAAAACATTAACTTTCTCCCAAACTACAGAAGCAACTTCTTTTTTACCAGTTAATTTTGAATCAAATCTTGTAAGATAAAGGTAATGGCGTACAAAATCTCCATTTGCTGGTAGTTGACTATACATCTTTGCTTCAAGGGTAGGTAATAATTTACCAACAACATTATCCAACTTCTCATCATTTTTCCTCAATTTACTATTGCTTATAACTGATTGAATATTTTTTATATATGCTATTATATCTATAGATAAAAAGTAACTATAAATTATAAAATTATTTGAATAACGTATGTAATATTAATATTCATCATAAAAATTTTTCATCTCAAAGATTGCGAATAATATTATTTAATAATTTTTGAGAATCATTGAATTGAAACAAATTATATTTACTAATATTATCTATGATACATAGTCTAGAATTATAATAGTGATCAATATTGATACAAAATATATTTAATTGCAATTATACATTTATATATTTAGCCTAAAATCACAGTTTAAAAGTAAATAATTTTGAAAAAGTGGGCAGCAAGGGGGTAAAAGTTTAAAAGAAGGGCAGGGGGGTCAATATGCATATGTATGTCCATGGGTATGTATATATCAACCCTCGGAATTAGGAAAAATGAGGTGCCGACCTCAATCTTTTTGAGGTCAGCATCAGGTTGGCAAAAATTATTTGATACAAAGGTCTGACCATAAAACATAGAAACGAGGTCGGCAATAATTTGCCGATCTCAAACACTTTCCGGTCGGCTGTTAGGTCGGCATAACCAAATGCCAACCCTAATTTCGAGGGTTGATATATATATATATATATACATATATATATATATATATATATATATATATATATATATATATATATATATATATATATATATATATATATATATATATATATACATATTTAAATACTTTGTCTTTATTTTGTTAGTACATTGTTTTACTTCATTGTTATTAATTTTGTTATTGATTTTATTATATTTTTAATGTTTATTATTCTTTATCAACATCTATAGATCGGTTTGAGCATCAGCCTGATAAACAAAAAGTTCTTGGTTCAATTCCTGCTCTTAGCATATGACATTAAGCTTTGTGTTTTACGTTTTATTTTTTTAGACCTTGAATGTTGATCATGATTTTCCATTATAAGTCTAAGTTTATAAATTCTATTACATATGCGATATCTAAATTATCATTATTATTTTTTTACTTTATGCTTCACTTTAGTGTCTTTGTTTTGTTCTGAACATCTGTTCAAAATATCTTTTTAATTTAATTTTTTTATCCTTTTTCTTTTCCTAATTTTTTCCTTATTTCATTATATATATTTCATTATATATATTTGGGCTTGACAGCTCTGTCTAATCCTTTGATGCATATTTTTGCATTTTTTAAAATGGACTTTTTGATTTTAAATAATATCATGAATTTTGATATATTTTCAAGCTATGCCTGAATAAATACAAAAAAAAACAAAAAAATAAATTGTAAAAATATAAATGAACTTTTTAAATAAAACTTATCAAACTTGAAAAAACTAGTATTATAAAGCAAAAAATAAATTATGAACTTATAATGAAGAAATATTACATATTTTTTACATAATTATTTTTGCATACTGACAATTTAAGAGATTCAGGTCAGAGGTTAAAGAGTTTCGAAAAATTCCATTCTTTTCTTTACGACAATATCCTGTTAATCAGTATTTTCAAAAAATTACAATTATTATGTCTACCCCCCCCCCCCTCTCCTCCCTGTTTATTTGGCATCTGGAAGTAAGTAGTAAACATTTTCTTTTTTATGTTTTTATTGCAAATATAAAGAAAATAAAATGTATAACAAATGTATAAAATGTATGGAATAGTTTTAATATAAATTATATTATAATGGCATATTTTCATGATTACTTTTTTAACCATTTTTATATTCCAATTATTCATATTTATCAAAAAAATGTATGATAAGTTTATTGCTTCATGTTTTTGTTATGTTATTGTGTAAATTATTATTTATTAAACTAAATCAGTATGATGTCAGATTATTCATATAAGTGTTTTTTAAAATTTGTATACGCAAAAACAACTTTCAACATTAATGAAACTTATTATTGTTTCTTATTATTTAATTACTTTTTGTGGATTGGATAGTGATTAAAGTAACGCAATTAAATAGTTTTGCAAAATTTCATATACTTTTTGTTCAAATTAAGTTAGTTTTGCGATTATAATTCTTGTGGATTATAATGGCTATAAGAGAAAGCAGAAAATTTTTATGGCCAGACTTGGTGTGTTTCATCTAATATACTGGTATAGATTAAAACCTGTGTTATATTGTTTCCTGTCTAGGATAGATGCTGGACCTTTTTGATTTATAAGTTTTTGTTTGTGATTCTATGATAGTGACTCTGGAACACTTTATGCTACTTTTAGGTGCCTAATATTTGAGAGGGGATGTTTATTAATATGCAACTTTTTCTGCTATTTTCTAGTGTGGGTACACCTGTGAAACTTATTTAGTGGTTTGAGGCCGCTGGGTATAAGATTTCCAAACTCTAGTGTAGCTGTCAGAGAAACTGATTCCATCAACAGCTGTCAAATATCAAAGTATTAATAAAGCCATGTTATACACGGATGGTGTCCCTCTTAATGTTGTAAATGTTGTACATGGATGGTGTCTCTCTTAATCAATTGTGGAGATCAGAGGAAAGTTAATATAGAACAACTAAACTGTCAGAGTATTAATATGCCTAGAAACACAGAGAGCATACATTATGAGATTTTTTATTAATTGAAGATTAGAGGAATGAAAGAGCTGTTTATTAGTCACATTAGTGATAAGGAATTAGAAGCCAGAGTTAAAAAGAGAATAGAGAGATACACAAAGTATGAAAAAAAACAGAAGTGGTGGTAGACAGAAAATTTAAGAAGATATTAGTGCATTTTTATTTATTAAATGTTTATTAAATTAAATTTATCAAATTAAAAGCAATGTCATTCATTCAAAATTTAAATAAAATTTTTTTTTTTTTTTAATAGACGCCATATGTTTTTTAGTTAGATTTTTAATTGCAATTTTGATTTATTTTCATTTTTTAAAAACTCTTCATTTACATATTTACTGCTGTTTATCTTCTTTTTTTTTTTTTAAATTCTGATTCACTCCCAACAAGGCTGCAAGCGACCACTATTATGTTGGGAGTTACTAGAAAAAAAGAATTGAGTTATAGAGCAAGGAAACGGTTGAAAAAAGACTTAAAAAGTTTAAAGTTATATGAGTCAGCAAAACATGAAGATGGAAAAGAGTTCCAAAGGGTTGAACTATGTGGAAAAAAACTTGACAAATAAAAGTTTATGGAGCATGCAGAGACAAATACTGTAAAAGAATGAGACTTTGATGAATGACGAGTCAAGTGAAAATGAGTTTTAGTTGATGAAACAGAGATAATAGCTCCTTTGAACAGCAATCATATAATTGTAGAAAAGAAAAACTTTTACTGTTTTTAACTAGTGACCTCTCCACAAAACCATTTTTAAAATTTTTATTACAAATCATTATATATATATATATATATATATATATATATATATATATATATATATATATATATATATATATATATATATATATATATATATATATATATATATATATATATATATATATATATATATATATATATATATATATATATATATAATAATTTCAAGAGTAACAATTGTATTAAAAAGTGGAAAGTTTATGTGTTGCCAAAGATGTTCTAATATGAATCTTTGTCTATTTGTTTGAAATTATTAGCTTACAACCTAAGTTAAATGTAATTGTAATAATTGTAAGCAATAAATTAATAAGTAACTTAATTTCTACTGAACAAAATTTATATTTTTCAGTCAGATTCTAGCACTACATCTACTTCAGTACTTCTCTGATTAAAATAAAGATACAAATCTGATGTTGAAAATTAAAAGGTAAAATATCAAGTTATAAAAAAATGTATATCCTAATCATTTATGCATGGTTCTAGATAATATCGATCCAAATTTTTTTTTGAAACCCACTCATAATATGTATGTACCTTATAAAATTTGTAAGTAAACAATCGATTTCTGGATGACTTCTTAAATAATTCTCATTTGAAATTCTCGTTTTAATCTAAATAATATTACAATTAATAATTTAATTATGAATTATCATGTTATAGTCAATTATGTTAAGAAAGACTTTAGTAAAATTACTTTCCTAACACACAATAAGCAAAAAAGACTTTAGTAGTAAAAAAAAGTCTCTTTAATTGCTTATTTTAGTAACCACCAACAATATTTGCAAAAGTACATTAAGTTTTATTGGTTTTAAAAAGCTGCAATAATTATGACTAGAATTTTTTTTTTTAATTAACGATGTTTTGATATTTTGATTGTTTTATACTGTTGAATATTATTTCATTTTTGTTTTATTGACTTAAGTGTACATACATTGACTGATTTAAATAGGTAGAACATGTTGACAGTGTAAATAAATTGACTGAGGGTTTTAGTTTATGCAGGTAATCTAACAATATTAAGAAAAGTTTTTAAAGTTTTTCAAATTATTTATGGCCTGGTTTACTAGCATTCAAACTAAATTGACATTTTAGTTTGGAATGGTAATTCCATTCTAAACTAAAATGACATTTTAGTTTAGAATGGAATTTAGTGGAATGCTAATATGACATGGGGTTCAGCCCATGTCATATTAGCATACCAACCCCATATTATGTTTCAATATATATAAAAATAATTCAAGCCAAATCTGACCAATACTGGACAAGATTTAGAGGTTGCTCAAAAAAGTTTTAATTTTTCAAGATATTTTCTACAAATCGGCATCCATTAAAGTCTGCATAAAATCTTAACAAACTGAAACTTAACAACTAATTTATAAATACATATTTTATACAAAATATAATTATATATATATAAATATATATATATATATATATATATATATATATATATATATATATATATATATATATATATATATATATATATATAGTGATTTCGCCGGTTATCCGGTTTTGCGGTTAACCGGATTTTGTTCGAATATCAAATATCTATTTTCGAATAATAAAAACCGACTTTAAAATTTTACGAAATTTTATAGAAAGTAACATTGTAATTATGACGATTATTGTTTGACAAATGTTAATTTATCAAAGATTATAATATATTTCTTTTATTAAATTAAATGTTAATTTAATCAGTTCTGTTTGATAATATATTCTTAAAACAATTTACAATAGAAATCTCAAAGATTTATTTATTACTTTTAAAACTCAAGCAATAAATTTTTAAGAAAGTTTCTTCAGAATATTCTGGAACTCTAATTCGCTTATTCAGCGTAATTTTTGAACCAATAGAATTTGCTTATTCGTAGATTTGGCGGTATTTTAGTGTTAGCAAATATTCTTTATATTATCTTTACGCAACAAGTTGTTTTGAGAACATTCAAGTTTATCTATGTTTCCATCTATGTCCGCATAACAATTAGTTTTTAAAATACACACTAAAAAAATTTACTTCATAACTATCTCATAACATAAATTTACTTCATAAACATCTCATTTTTCCAAATCAAATGTTTTTAATGAGAGAATGATTTTAAAACATCCGCTGATATTAAAACATTTAAACTATACTTGTACATTATTCCTACCTTTTTTAATTATATAATTAAAAAGGTATATTATATTATAATATAAAAAATATATATATCTTTTTCCATGTTTTGTTATAAATATATAATATGTGTATTATATATGTGAAATTATATATGTGTAGTTATATATGTGTAATATTATATATGTGTAAATATATAATATGTGTATAAATATATATTATGTGTAATATGTGTAATATGGACTGTATTCACTAACTGTCTTGAAAATGTACACTTTAACATTAATTTTTAAAAAATTAGTTTAAAACGCTACGTTCGTTGAAATTTAGAAGATCCTGTATTCAGAAAGCGTTACTAATTTACCGATTAGTCGGTTAACCGCAAATTGATGAGAACTGTTATCCGGTTTTTGAAACGGATAACCAGCTAAATCACTATATACATATATATATATATATATATATATATATATATATATATATATATATATATATATATATATATATATATAAAATCTTTAAAAGTCATTTTCTTGTTATACGATAATAATAAAATATGTAAAATTCAATAAAAATTGCTGTGTATAAACTTTTTAAAAATATATATTTATTTTTATTTTAATATATTTTTTCTTTCGATATTTCGCTGATCTATTGTTATCAGCGTCATCAGGTGTAATAAATATTACAACAATTATTGTTTTTATTACAACAATTAGTTTTTTATTACAACAATCTACTTTGTAACGATTTCTATTTATTACACCTGATGACAATAGATCAACGAAATATCGAAAGAAAAAATATATTAAAATAAAAACAAATATATATTTTTAAAAAGTTTATACGCAGCCGTTTTTATTGAATTTTACATATTTTATATACATATATATATATATATATATATATATATATATATATATATATATATATATATATATATATATATATACATATATATACATATATATACATATATATACATATATATATACATATATATACATATACATATATATATATATATATATATATATATATATATATATATATATATATATATATATATATATATATATATATATATATATATATATATATATATATATATATATATATATATATATATATATATATATATATATATATATATATATATATATATAAAGGGTTGAATTATCCAGAAAAATATCTGGTCTTCAAAATTTTAGTTTATGCAAAGTTGTGTAGTTTGTTTTCAAGAAGCAAATTATTATAAGTTTGTTAGCAAAAAAGTTATAAAAAACAAAACAAACTTATGACTACAAAAGTAATAACACTCTAGTCACTAACTGCATTATAAAAGTAATAAAACTATAATAATGTTATTACTTTTGTAAAGCACTTATAACTTTTAAAGTTCATTCTTTGTTTAAACAACATTAGTAATTCTAAACTTTAATCAAAGTAAAAAAGCATCTAAAAAAAATAAAGTAATCAAATATTATTAAAAACTTCAAAAATTTTTACAAATACACTTAAACAACTTTATAAAAATGTTCTTTATAAAAAATAGTCTGGATGCTGTGTAATTTTTTCTTGGAAATGAGCGGACATTACAAAAACTAATTAAATAGATCAAGATTGATGCCTTGAATGAGAAAAACTTTACGTGCTTTTCTGAATATGCTTAAAAGATCGAATTTGGGGCCTTATTTGATACTGATGACGTCATGTTAATATTATTTTTTTAATCAAACTAAAAAATGCATATTTACGTCAAACGTTAGATAACTTCTTGAGAAAATCTCAATAACAACAACATCTTGAGAAAAACTTACCGACAATTCTAAAAGTGCTTAAAGGCTTAAATTTGGGTCCTTATTTAGGATTGATGATGTCACGCTAATAGGTTTTTTTTTAAAATTTATATTTACGTTAAACGTAACTTCTTCAAGAATGTTCAAATGATTTTATTAAGCCAGGTTGGTATTGGTCTGTCACAAAATATATTGTAAATCCTTTAAGAATTAGATTTAAAATAAATTCTGAATTATCTCTTAAAGTTTTGACTCTTTAAGGCAATAAATTAAACTGTTTAAATGTTTGCAAACAACACATTTTGATTGGAACGTAAAAAGAAACTGAAAATTAAATGCGATTTCTAAAGAACCTTTGGAGCTCTGTTTCCCCAATGGATTGTGCATTCAATAAATTTTCTTTTAACTCATCAGGTGCTTCTGTTCCAGAACAAATATTTACCAAAGAATCTCTTTGCTCAAAAGGACCCCAATTTTTTATTAGTATCAAAGCTCTACACATCCATTGTTGAAATCTTTTTGATGGTTTTTGATTTTTGGTTGTGATTCCTAAGTCATTTTTCAAAATTGAAATACATTTTGAAACAGTATGACTTGTAAGTATCCAGCGTAGAATGGTTCCTTCAGCAAACTATAACCTTTTATTCCACCTTGACATCGCTGATCGCGATTGATAGTTTGTTTAAAGCATTGGTCAGATGGGACTTTGTTAAACCGATCGTTTTTCTTACAGAGAAGACTCCATCCCTTTTTTCAAAAAGATAATATATTATAAAGATTTAATTTAAAGCTATTTTTAAAACTATTGTTGAAATCCAAACAAATTTTTGGAGCACAAGCTTACATAATTTTTGGAGCAATTTTTGGAGCACAAGCTTACATAAACTGTTGATAAATACTTAAATAAGTGTTAGGAATTTGCATCATTTCAGTCCAATAGAAAGTTAAGAAGCAAGAATAATTTAAATAATAATAATAATAAATCAAAGTAGCATTTGATGTCTTGCCTCCAAATAAACAGTTCAGTTACCAACCTTTGTTGAACAGAGCAAAGCAAAAAAAAAAAAATTTCGATAAAGGAAAACCAAAAGCGGAAGTTAGTCTGGAAATACCAATATCTTTAAACACATTTGAGTGATCATCGAAAGTTTTGAAGAAATCATCATCCAACAAGGATTTCAAATTGTCACAATTCATCTAGAAATAATAAAAGCATAATTTTGATATCAACATTAAATTCACCTTCTTTAAACAGCCAATGAACTCAGGTGAAGAAGAAAGGTGATTCGAAGAGGAAAGATTGTATTTAACTAACCAACTTTCAAAACGTTTTATCGCCAGCTGGGTTAGTGCATTATACAGTTATTGATAAATTCGAAAGGAACGGTTATATTGCTTTCCCATCAAATTACGCTCCAATGAACTTTTGCCTTAAAAATAAAATATATCTTTAGTTCTGACAAAAAATCTGCTGGAATATTTGCTACGTAATACAATATCAATAAAATTTAAGGAGATAAAGAATCACTAACCGGCTATATCAGCTTCAATTATCCAGTCTTGTAATCTGGCACCATTAAATCTTTTACCAACAACAGCTAAAAAAAATACAAGATGTGTGAAATGCAACCATTCAGAGGACAATAAAATTTTTAAGATCAATATAACTAGGGTTCATCAGGATTTCCACTGCTTTTGTTTATATAGCTTGATACATCATAACATCAGTTTCTGAGAGACCAAAATTCTTGGCTTTAGCTTTAGACTGGAGCAAAACTTCAAGCACTGTGGTCAAGTTTGTAGGCGATGAGTTAAAAGCAGAAAGATAGCAAACAGCGTGGGTATCTTCTGGTATTCTTTTAGTAGTAATTAGGTAGTTAAACCCATTCTAAATTGAAATATTATTAGAAAAATAATCTAGTAAGGCCCAAAAGAAATCTTCTTCTCTAAAACTACCAATAACTGTCTTTTGATAACGCGTTTCAGTAGTTTTTCTGATTCTTCTCACTTATGCTTTGCGTACAGAGACAACTCTTTCTTAATTGCTGTAAAAGATCTTTCTCTTTTTCTTGAAATTATTTTGTTAACCTCATTTTTGTGTACTTTACCAAGGTTTTGTAACTGAATGACAATACCATTTGTGGCGTGTATAGAGGTTCCATTTAAAGTTTCGGGATTTATGTCATTGTTGTCCCAAATGAAGGTCACAAATTTTGAGGGCTGAAGAGCAGAAAGGCAAAAACATTTAATAATTTGATTTTGCATTTCATTTTGTGCAAGAAATGTTTCTAAATAATTTACTTTATCATATGATATTCCATGTCCTAATTTACTTAGCCATTTCACTTACTCTTTTGATCCAGTTTTTTGTTTGGAATTTAACCCTAGTAACACATGTTTACAGCATCGATGGTAGCGGTTTGTTACATTATAAATTACTTCTTCACAAAGAGAGTTTATTTTGACAATTCCTCTTTTACTAACTCCAGCACAGAATAGGTTTTATGCAAAAAGTTGATGCAGAAGGGGCTAAATTCGAGTTTTAACTCTTAGTAACTCGTTTTCATTAAGAGGCCATGTTTTTTTCATAGACAAAACCTCACTGTGAATCTCTCGTGTAACATAATTGATAAGCTGTTCAATCGGTTTTCGATTATTCTTTTTTTCTAGATTCTCAATCTTTTTTAAAAAAACTTCAATGATTTTTCTCTTTTCAATTGTATTGATGTATAAGTAAGAATAGCCGTATTTTGGTGACCAAAACTATCTTGAGCGCCAGCATTAAATTCATTGATGAAAAATAATTACAAAATACCTTTTGATTTACACCACGAGGCAAACTTTGAGTTATACTACATTTTCACCCAGCAAAAATCTAGGAATTTTATCAATTCTAAATTTGTCTGCTCCACAATTCACTTCAAAATCATACACTATTCCAGAAATGCAGCATCTAGCTTAAACTTTTATCCCCTATTTATTTGCTTTATTTGGGAGGTACTGCCTTTTGCTTTATTTGGGAGGTACCCCCATTTATTTGCTTTATTTGGGAGGTACTGCCAATTTTGTTAAAAATTGTTTATCAATGGAGTGATTTTCCTCTTCTTGTATTTTCTTGCAGTTCTGTAAAACAGCCTCAAGTATAGGTAAATTTTAACATTTTGTCGATATTTTGACCTCTGTGTTTGTTAAATTACCATAAAATTTCTAGTTTTTACTATACTTTTTTAAAACATATTATTTAAAATAATATAACAATATAATATAACAAACAAAATAGTACAATAAACAAAAAAAATTTAGATAAATGGCCTAGTAAAAAACATAATTCATAAATAAAATAATAAACACCATTATGCTATAACCATTATCACTTTTATTATTCTTTGTAACGATAAATGTTGCTACGCCAAAAGCCATTATCCAAAATTATACTATTTTTTATCATTAACATGAAAAGTTGTTTTTGAAGAACATATACTTACAGATTGTTATTTTTATTCAGAAAATACAATCAAAAGCCATTATACCTCAGTAAAATTAATCTAGTGTCAAGTATTAACTGTGAATTTTTTCAGAAGCTTAGCATAATTACAACTATTAAGAATTTAAATTTGAATCTTTTAAAATTTGAAAACTACTTGAGCCAACAAACTTGCCTTTAACATAACAGTCACATCTATTAAGAGAAGAAATCTAAATACCAATCATCTGTGCTCTTTAATTTATATAGATACTTTATTAGTTAGTTTAAAGCACTTTATAAAGAGACATTAGTTTTAATTTATTGTTCTATAACAACCTGCTGCACAAAAGCATTAAAAAAATTTTGTTAGGATTTAGCCGATTGCAAATTTTTATTAATTTGATAATTTTACTGATTATATTAAACAAGCTATTACTATAACCATCACCAGATATATTGTCAATGATATCTCTATAATCCTTTTAAATGCATTATAATATAATGCATTATATTTTGCATTTATTTATATAATGCATTATAATTTTTATAAAATGATATGACCATATCTCATAATTTATTAAATCAATATAAAAATAGTAAAAGTAATACTAATTAGTAGAAACACTTCTCATATTTGATTGCGATCTCATTTAATAAAAAAAAAAAAAAGAAATAGAGACCAATATAAATTTGTACTCCACTCATAGACCTATCTTTTGATATAATTTTTGTAGAAGTGGTAGTTTTAGCACAAATAGTATATTATGCAAGTCATACAAAGTAGTTACACAAAAGAATTTTATCAAAACTACCTTAAAGTTAACTTTTGAATTACTTTTAGCTTATTTAAAAAAAAAGTAATTTATATAAAATCTTTTAGTAAAAAAAACATTCGAATACAAATAAAAAATTAAATTTTATTTACCTTAAAAGAGTCTAACTTTTTTTGCTGTTCATTTGTCAAAGCTTCCGGGTCATTTTTTTCGCAACCTTTTAAGTCTTCCATGATAAGTTTTTAACAGTTTTCCAGTACCGCATCATTGGAAAATTAAAAAAATTTTTGGAAATTACTTTGATAAGATTTTCTATAAATATTTACGTTAAAAACTTTTGTTGAAGTCTATTGTAGTTTTTGTAATATTTAGTTTTTGTAATATTTGGTTCGCTTTAAAAAAGCAATAATATTGCGATAATATTGCGCTATAAGATAAATTGCGATTTATAATAATAGGGTAGGGTGGGGCAAGAGGCCCAGGTGGGGTAAAAGGACCATCCTGCAGTTATAAAGAACCTGGGTAAAATATTATAATTATTGTTTTGTAGTATGAATGATAAATGTGTAACAGTTTTGCGAGCGAATTTTGGTGAATTTTTAGTAGAAATATAATTTTTAACAGAATATTGAAGACTTGACAGGTAATAAAAATAGGACATTTTGATTTTTTGCGTAATTTTAAAATTTTTTTGTAGATTATTGTTAAACTTACTTGATTATTTAAATGAGTTTATGTATTTGTTAGCGTACAAATTATGTATTGATTATTTACATAACGTTCATTGTACCATAGAATAATATGTTTTTAGCAATTTTTGCACCGACCATTTTGGGGCAAAAAACCCAGTTTATTAATGGGGCAAAAGGCCCATCCTGAGCTTTTTACCCCTTGCATTATTTAAGTAGAATGTTCAAATTTTAACTTTATTTTATTTATAGATATGGTTAGAAATTACAAAAGGAAGACAAAAAGAGGAAGTTATGGAGCAGAAGATTTACAACGGGCTTTAGATTCAGTAAAAAATGGTATGTCTTTGCGTAAAGCTGAAAACAGTTTTGGAGTTTCAAGGAAGACATTGAGAAGGCATTTGCAGGGCAAAGTAAGACAAGTTGGGAGCAATAAATTAGGAAATCATGTGAATACTTTTTCTATTGAAATTGAACAAGATCTTGTTAAACACACCCAAATGATGGAAAGAGCATTATTTGGATTAACTACGACGGATATCCGGCGGCTAGCGTTTGATATGGCCGAGCGACTTCACTTGAAGCATTCACTTAATACTTCCTCCAGGCAAGCTGGCAAGGACTGGCTTAGTGGTTTTTTGAAACGTCATCCAGAATTAACAATTAGAGTTCCAGAGGCAACTAGTATGAATCGAGCAGTTGGATTTAATCGACCAAAAGTAGACCAGTTCTTTACCGTTTACGAAGATATACTTACAAAAAATGCGTACGGACCTCAGTCAATATGGAATATGGATGAAACTGGCATCACAAATGTCCAAAAGCCAGGAAAAGTGCTTGCCACAAAAGGTGTTAGACAAGTTGGTAAAATAACTAGTGCGGAAAGAGGCACAACTGTTACAGTTATATGTGCAATGAATGCGAGTGGATCGTACATTCCTCCGATGCTAATTTTTCCTCGAAAAAGACTCATAGATCAATTAATAAAAGGTGCTCCTCCTGGCAGCATTGGTGGAGCAAGTGCATCTGGTTGGACAGATTCGACTTTATTTCTTAAATGGCTGGAGCACTTTGCTCTTCATACATCAGCAAGTATTTCAAATCCCAAACTTCTAATTGTAGACGGGCATCACAGCCATAAGACTCTTGAAGCAATTGATTTTTGTCGCGATCATGGGATTGCAATGATAACGTTACCACCACACTGCACACATAAAATGCAACCACTGGATCGAACTTTCTTTAAGCCATTAAAATGTAGCTACAACTCCGCAGCAGATAGCTGGATGCGCACTCATCCAGGCAAGCGAATAACTCTGTATGACATGGCAGAAATTTTTGCAACAGCCTATGCAACAGTTGCTGCGGTGGATAAAGCTGTGAAAGGATTTGAAGTGTCTGGCATTTTCCCATTCAACAAAGCCATCTTTACAGATAAGGATTTTATAGCTGCACAATTAACTGATGAGCCAGAACCCGTGATCACACTTGCAGTATTGGACGACAGTGCTAGAAACGAAACAAGTGAACCTACGAATACAAATGAAGAAGCCGGCAATGCGGTGGATGATGAAGCATCGGTTAATGTGATGGAGACTGATAGGATTGCAACAGGAGATAGCAATGAGTCCGATGAAAATCAACTAGATAAAACAGCTGATCATCCTGGTTTATCCGAAGCATTGCAGATTATATCAGAACTAAGCCCTATTCCAAGGATAAAGAATGTACGCAGTCGCAAACGAAAAACCGAAGCAGCAACTGTAATAACTTCTAGTCCTTATAAGGCAATGTTAATTGAAGCAAATGCAAAAAAGACAAAACAGAACAAGCAAGTAGTAGTTGAAAATAATAATGAGGAAAATGATGAAGACGAAATCAATGTAATCGCAGACAAATCCAAGAGAACGAAAAGTGGAGATGACAAAGAAACCGGGAAAAGGAAGCAATATGCGAGAACAAAATCAAAAAGGACAATCAAAAGTAACGCATCGAATGCTAACGTGATAAGAAAAGGGTCAAAAGAACGAAGATGTGTAGGTTCTGTTACTAACAGTGATGATACGCCATGTTGCATGTGTGGTAAAAGATTTAACGAACCACCCATTGATGACTGGCAGCAATGCCCAGAATGTCTCAACTGGTACCACGACGGCTGTGGTCCTGATGACACTGCTGTCTGCTTTCACTGCCAATAGGCATAATCAATTTAACTAGTCTTACTGTAGTTTTTTAGCTGTCTTTTTAGCTGTATGAATTAGTTTTTTAGCTGTCTTTTTGGGTTATGAATTATTTTTTTAGATGTCTTTTTAGCTCTATGAATTAGTTTTTTTTAGCAACTTTTAAGCTCTATGAATTAGCTTTTAGCTGTGTTTTTCAGCTCTATAAATTAGTTTTTATAGCTATCTTTTTAGTCTATAAATTTTTAGCTCTTTTTAGCTCTATTAATTTTACGGAGCTGTTTGCCATTGTCATATGATAGCATATATGGTGCTACTTGCTAATATTATGGTGCTAAGTGTTCTACTAAAACTTTTGTTGGACATTTTTACACACAAATATATTGTGACTAGTAAAAAGTGTATTGTTGCAATAAATTTTTATTGTAAAAAAGGAATATTTCAAGCTATTAACGTTTGGGGTAAAAGGCCCAGGGTAGGGGCGTTTTGCCCCAGCAATGGGGCAAAAGGCCCACTCTATAGCAGTTTATAAAAAGCATATTTCCATTAAAACTTGAGTAGCCATTAAGAAAATAACTTTAGATACTTAAGTTTATTATGTATCTGAAATAATGGTAACATAAATTTCTAGATACGCTTATTGGATCAGTAAAAAAAAGACGAAATTGCTTATGGTGGGCTTCTTGCCCCACCTTACCCTATTTGCATTTTATAACGGACCCAAAAGCTTTAATAATTTCATAATTTTCATGCTAATAGTTTTGATATGAACCATGGTGCTCATTAAATAACAAAATGTTATTTAATAATAATCAACTTCTAAAATATTCAATATCAACTTCTAAAATATTAAACGACGACAAAGAAAGTTGAGAAAGAGTTCATATCAAATTATCTATCCAAGTTTACACTGTTATCACGATTTGTATATATATATATATTTGTAAAGTAATTTTTATAGTTTATTGTAAAACGACTAACTTTGTAAGCTGAAAAAAAAAACATCGTCTGCAATTCTGTCCGCTTTCTCTATGCTATCTTTCTAACACGACTACTTCTGCCTTTCACTCTAACATATCTAAGTTCTTCCCAAACTCACCTTACTCTTAGTCCGTAGAGCGGGTTACAACGCTTCTTTAGGAGCCGAAACAAATCTTTGCGGACCGAGGTAATGTGACCTCCACAAGGCAATTAGCTGGCGGAGGATAAACCACAAAACTTCAACTTCTAAAATATCAAAAAAATCAAAAAGTCAACGCGGATGATTTTAAAAAAATAAAAAAAGGCTTTTTTGGTTCCTTTATTCTTCTCCTTTATTTAGTCTGTTATAAAAATGGTGAAAAAATGTTGTGTTTACGGCTTTATTTCAAATGATTCAAGACAATTTATAGGTGTTCCCTATAAATTGATGTTTATGAATTATTCGACCTATAATTAAAGTAAAGAAAGAGAACGACCACAAAACTCACTATCAGTTTGGCCCAAACATTACTTATTCACTAAAAAAAAATTACATGATTATTTTAACATACCATTAATACAACAACGCACATTTCTTCACAAATATTGAAGAAATGTGTGTTGATACATTAACAGTATCGAATTCTGATAATAGTTGTTTATTAAAAGAAGTTATTGATAAATTAAGTAAGGTCAAAGTATAGGTACCTTGACCCTACTTAATTTTAAATGTACATATATAAAAAATGGTGTTCCTCTACGTAGGTGCTATTTTCGGAAGTTTATGATAACTTGTATGTTTGGTGGACCTTAACGTCTTATTAAAATGTTACCTGTAAACAAATTAATTTCTAAATTTTACGTGCTTAAACTCATTCAACTGTAGAAGCAGTTAAACGAGACCAGTCGAGACCAGTCGTAGCGCAGTGATTAGCGCATTTGCCTTAGATATCCGTTCAATTCTGGGCAAAAGAAGTTAAGGAAGGTGGCGTGAACTTCCTTTCAAAAAAATTGCCTCGGTGCCTTATGATAAGACCGAAAAGGGGTTTCTTGGGACACCTAAAATAAATAAATAAATAAAAAAGTCAAATAACAGAAAAGGTAACTTTATGTGACAAAAATAACAAAACGTTCTTTAAAAAATTCAACGCATTTTCTGTAAGACCTTGGTCTAAGCACCGATGCAACGTTTTCGTTGTTTGAACTTAGTCAAAAACATCCAAAATAATTGGCTCAAGAAAAACCGGAGAAATTATTTTTATGAAAATTGCGTTAAGAAAAAAGCTTGTTGGGTGCATACAAAAATTATCAGTTTTGTTGGGTGCATAGAAAAGTTATTGTTTCTGTTCGATGCTAATGTTTTGTTTATACTTTGGACCTTGAACAGTTTTGTTTTGTTTATTCTTTCAGCTATTTTTTTTGAGCATAATCTTGCAAAATTCTGTGCTACAACGAATTTATGGCAAATTTCTCTATGAGTAAAGCCCAGAAAATCAAAAAGTA